TAGAGTGCTGTGGCATCACAGCTCATAGCAACCTCCAACTACTGGGCTCAAGCAAGTCTCCTGCCTCCACCTCCCAAGTAGCTGGGACCATAGGTGCCTGCCACATGCCTGGCTATTTTTTGGTTGCAGCCATGATTGTTGTTTGGTGGGGGGCTGGATTCAAACCTGCCACCTTAGGTGTATGTGGCTGGCACCTTAGCTACTTGAGCCACAGGCGCCGAGCCAATTTTTCCTACTTTTATGTGATCAGACTGGTCTTGAACTCCTGGCCTCAAGTGATCTTCCTGTCTTGGCTGCTCCAAGTGCTAGGGTTATAGTTTTTTCTGTAATCTTGATTTTATTTTATCTACTGTTTATAATTTTTAGATTTGCTCCATTCAGAATGTAACTTGTGTTTCTCTTTTCATAGCCTGACTTAAACATCTCTGATGGCTAACGAAGCTTACCCTTGTCCTTGTGACATTGGCCATAGACTAGAATATGGAGGGATGGGCCATGAACTTCAAGTCGAGCACATCAAGGCTTATGTCACCAAGTCCCCTGTTGCTGCAGGCAAAGCTGTGATTGTCATTCAAGATATATTTGGCTGGCAGTTGCCTAATACGAGGTATATGGCTGACATGATCGCAGGAAATGGATACACGTACGTATAAAATTCTGTTCTTCTGTTTAAATTGATGTACATTTCTGTGGTTTATTTTGTTCTCTTAAAAAAAAAACAACCTGACTATACAGTAGTATTCTGATTTACATTATCTACTTCCTTATCCAGGTATGGTAAAGGTACATGGGAAATGTATGAAATTAAATACCCACCTGGGGGAAGCCAACAGTTCTAACGCAGTCCTAGGCCTTGTGTTCTCCTGGGAGCATCTGGCTCTGTAGGCTTGTTGGACACTGATAGTTCTCTCCTCATGGAGCGCTGGCTGGACGTAGGCACTGGACACCTAGAGCAGACCTTGCCAGCTCTGCAGTGGTCCCACTACTTGGCCCCTGAGGAGTCTCAGCCTCCTTGCAGATTTTGCAGCCCCACTTGGACAGCAGGACATTTCCGGGTGTTCCTGGTCCTGACATGTGCCATCATAGCCCCGTCTCAATTAGACTGTGGTCCAGAAATTGCATAGTGAGACCCTGCTTGTCTTTCAGAGTTTACTTCTTAGCCCGGCCAAGTGGCCACGGCCACCTTTGGTGAGGGCTGACTCCTTTTTGCTTCTCATTTGCTCCTAGTGTTGGTAGAAGCTCCAGTCAAGCTGAGAGGAGAGTAGAAAGCGTAACATCCAGCAGGCCCTGAGCCTGGTGCACCACCTGAATTTCCTTTGTTTTCTCAAAAAGAGAAGATGAAATTCTGAGGGTGTACCCACCTTGTTTTCTAGGACGAGAAACTAGTTTAAAGGAGTCACACCCATTGGGTGTGACGTGTACTTATTGTTGAGTGAAGAGATGACTCTCACTCAGTGTTTCCCTTTTCATGTCTTTGGATTCCCTCTTGCAGATGAGGCAACTGAGCTTCCTAGGGGCAAGGCCAATAATTAAAAAATAGCCAGTTGGGGCAGGCGCAGTGCTCACACCTGTAACCCTAGCACTCTGGGAAGCTGAGGTGGGTGGATTGCCTGAGCTCAGGAGTTTGGGAACAGCCTGAGTAAGAGTGAGACCCCATTCTTACTAAATATAGAAAAACTTGCTAGATGTCGTGGTAAGCACCTGTGGTCCCAGCTACTTGAGTGTCTGAGGCAAGAGGATTGCTTGAGCCCAAGAATTTGAGGTTGCAATGAGCTATGACACCACATCACTCTTCCTAGTGTGACAACCTGAAACTCTTGTCTCAAAAAAAATAAAAAAATAGCCAATCCCGATTGCCTTCTGGCTTGGCTAGACCCTGTGCTAAGAGCCCTTCCAGGGTCACTGACCTTAAATCTCCCAATATCCCCTTGAGGGAGGAACTGCCCTGGGTTTCTGTTTGCAGATTGGGAAACCATCAGATGGAGGTTCACAGCTGCTCCAGTCACCTGACACAGCCAGAAAATTGAATGGGATTCCGGTTTCTGTTGTCTTATGGTGGGTCCCTTAGTGGGACTTAGAACGTAGAAGTTGAGTAGACACCTGTGATTTACAAAGTACCTTCACCTTTATACAGCTGATTTTGCCATCAGGACAATCCTCTGAGGTTGGGTGGTGCAGGGTGCTGGCTACTTGTTGGGTCAAGAAAATGAGGATAAAAGTGGTTAAATGACTGTTAAGGGCACACGGCAGTTGTGGAGGCTACTGAACCTTGAACTTGGAGTTTCTGTCCCAGGTTTCAGTTCTGTCCACTCCCCCAGGAGTTGTGCTCCTCCAGCCGGGCAGCAATCCTTTATTTTAGGCAACAGGACTATGGCCGGGGCAAGGTTGGCCCATCCCTCTGTGTTGACTTGTGTAGAAGCAAGGCTTGTGTTCTGTCTGCAGCCTCTTTTAGACGCTGCTTTAGACCATCCCCTCTGGGCTGGAGATTGTGCCCTGCTGGCATCTTGCATGCAGGCTGGTGAAAACTGCTTGGTCATAGTGACTGGACACGCTCACCAGGTGTGTCCTTTGGCCTGAGGCTCTTGTGAAAGGCCGGGAAGCTCCCAGGCTGGCTGAGAGGGCCAACTCCTCCAGGGCAGCAGGGGCCCTCAGAGCCACCCTCCCGAGATGCATGTGTCCAGGTGCCCCCTTCATCCTGTGCCAGCATATCCAGTGGGGACGGTGCCCTGCCAGGTGGCCTCGCCATTTCCCAGGGTAGATTACCAGCAGGCTGCCAGGGGCTGTGCACCTGTGGTTGTAAACGCCACAAGGGCCTGGTGCCTGGTGGCCTCTTTGCTGCAATCAAAGTTGGTCCTCACGTCCAACTGCTTTTCCTTTCCACTGAGCTCGAGTCACTAATTTAGCAAGTTTCTTAATAAATGTAAGCAAATGAATGAGTCCAAACCATTCTGAAACTAAGTTAACATTCACATTTTACAGAACCATTGTTCCAGACTTCTTTGTAGGGCAGGAGCCGTGGGATCCCTCTGCCGACTGGTCCACCTTCCCCGAGTGGTTGAAAACAAGGAATGCCCGGAAGATTGATAAGTAAGTTACTGGCAGATATGGCCGTGTGAGTGGTGTGGCCCAGAGAGGAGAGAGCCGCCCGCACCCCTATCCACGCCCCTGGGTAGGCCATCACAGGGCTGCAGCTCAGAGTGCTTCCTGCAGCATAAAGGACAAAGGTTCCAAAGCTGAAGAGGACGGTCCAGCAAGCTCTCCTGCCACCCAGCAGGCTGTGTCCCTGATGTGCAGGGAACCTAGCTGAGCTCACAGCTATGCTGATTAGCCTTCAGGAGTTCAGGGAGCCAGCAGCCCTTTCTTTCCCTCTTTCCCTACCCTCCTGGCTGCAGGACCAGTTGAAAAGAGCAGAAAAAAGAACCTAAATCAAATTCCAGCAACGTTACTGCTAAGCTGGTCGGGGACCATGGCCACTTCCACCCCTAGCCTAGACCCAATCCCACTCCAACCCTGAGGGAGACCTGCCCGACCAGTATTGCTCTTGCCAGGGTCCAAGCATGGCTAGGGTAAGAGGGACAGAGGGAAGGAATCCCCCGGGCTGCAGCCTTTGACTGCATTTGTCCTGCCCAGGCTAGAAGGACCAGGCCTGCCGGCTGCCAGTCAGGTCCCCTTCCTTCTGTCTGGAGGTCTAAGTACTGAGGAAGAAAGAGGCCAGGAATGTTCTCTAAGGACAAGTTCTTCCTGCACACAAAAGTCTAAGCCAAGGGAAAAAGGGTTCCCCCAACACTAGCTGCTGTGGCCATTTCTTCCCGAATCTTCTCTCTATCACCTAACTCTCTCCCACTGTGCACATGAACCCCAGGATTGATCAACATCGGCCTTCTGTTTGATAAGCTGTCCCTAAGCCCAGGCCAGGAGGTCTGCTAATAACGTGGCCTCATGTGTGGCCACTTTGTCCCTGGAACTCTCCACTGCCTTCTACGGTGAGAGTGCCCTGAACTTCCCAGCTCTCTGGGCCAACCCTGGGGCAGCTGGCCTCCCTCTCTTGGTCTGGCAGACACTGGGTCGCTGCTCTGCCCCCATCCTGCGTCAGCTCTGCGGGGCCCTCAGCTCCACTTAGTTTCAATCCCTCATTCACTGGGGGCTCAGTCTTCCCTGTTTTGGCCGCCCCTTTCTAAGGGCTGATATAGAATAGCTGTGCTTTGTGGCTCAGGCCTGCGTCCTCTTAGGGGCTCGTCAGACTCTGGGGAGAGGCTGTAGACTGCCTTTGGGGCTGTCAGCCTGGCGGAGTACCTAGGACTGTGAGTATTGGGAAGTATTAGCCTCAGGGCTGCAAGTAGGAGACTAGGGCTAGATGCCATAGCACCGCTCCTGCCTGGTGAAGCCCTGACCATAGAGCAGATGAGACCAAATGTGAGGAGTTACCCAATTTGCCCTAAGGCAGGAAGGACCTATTTCCCCTGCTGGGGTAGCTGCCTGCAGACAGCCTCTGACTCTCTGTGGGGCTCCCCCTAGGATGTCTGCTGCCTCACCTATGTCTGTCCCATCTGGGGAGTCTCCAGCCAGTGAGTGGTCACTGTTGGGGTGTGAAGGCCCAGCTCACTCACCCGCAGCTGAGGTGACCTCGAGGGCCGTGCTAGTTCTGGAGCTCCCCTGTGGCACTGTGGTTGAAGCACAGCCCCATGTCTTTGCCAGCCCTGTTCTCCCTGCCCAGATTGGACCCTAGGAGGGCCGTGAGGAAGCCTCCTGCAAGCCATTCTCCAAATCCACATTGGCTTCCCAGGGATCCAGCCTGCCACCCCCTAAAAAACAAAGCAAGACGTTAAAAGTACGTTGGGAGAGGCAACACAAGCACAGGAGAACTAGAAAGATGGTGGCATTGAGAACACTAAGTTCAGCTTTGCCTGTGTGGGTGGCATAGGTGGGGAGAATGGTAGGACATTTTGCTGTTTTCTGAGAAGAAGCTTGCTCGGTCTCCCCTTCATCTGTGGGCACAGATCAGAGTACCTGGTGCAGGTGGGCATCAGAGCACCCAGTGAGACTCTTCCACAGGGGAAAAGGAAAGCCACAAAGTTAATTTCTTAAATTAACATGGTAGCTGCTATGTGAATTGTGTTTAACTCGCTCTAGTGTGGAGCCGGGCCCTGGTGAGGGTGTGGAACCTGTGCTTTTGCTGTCGCTCAGCTTGTCTCCCCTCCTCCTATCCCCTGCTCCAGCTACCTGCCCGGGCGCCACAGTGCTGGCCTGTGTCCTCTGATTACCATGACTCCCAGTGGCACATTTGGCCTTGAATGTTTGCCTGGTGGCGATTCGAATGAAATTGAGATGGAAGTTTGCGGTGATGGGACACAGTCGCACACACTTAGGAATATGATTCAGAGGTCGTCATCCAGGACCACCCAGGATCCGTCCAAATGCAACTAACTACTAATACTAATTTTTAATTAAATTAGAAAGGATTGTTTTGTTTTTGAAGTTTTTATTCTATTTTCATAATAAAATGCCATGGCCCCAAGGAAAAAAATTTTTCTAGTGTAGCAGTCAGCGTGTTAAAATGAGGCATAAAATGGAAACAATAACGCTGAAAATAGAAATCCTAGTATCATATCCAGTCAGGTATCTTCTCTTTGCAAGGACAGAAAACCCATCCTGAACACTTACTGCTTAGGGGTCAAGAGATGATTTGGTTTATAGAACAGAAAGCTTTGTGGCTTTAAGCAGTTTGGTCCATATTCCAGCTTAAATATATCCCCAGGAGTCATCCCCTCAGCATCTCTCAGCTCTATTTCCTGTATGCTGACTCCATTCTCAGCTCTTGCCTCTTGGTGGCAAAGTGGGTGGAGTAACCCCAGCCTTCTGTTGGCCTCTCTCCCACATCTCAGCAAGTCTTACTTTGTCCCCTTATTTTTAATTGGGTCAGAAGTCCATGCTTGCACCAATCATTGTGTCTAGGAGATGGCTGTGTTTTGATTGGCCAGGCCTGAGTCATGTACTTTACTC